TCAATGAAGCACTGTGTTCAGCACATAAAAAATCCTAGAAGGCCACAGACAAGGGTGTTTTGAGACCTGGATGTTCAATGGAACGCTGCTTTCACCACACCTTTTAAAACTGGTAAAAACAAGGCTAAAATGTTGATTAAAGTAATGCTGGTTTACTATGGGTTTGAATTACATGGTTGATAAGTGAGACAGGCATCTTACCGATATGTATGAAACTGTGTAGTCAGGCCTTCACAAATGGAATCAATTGCTTTTTTAATAAAAACTCTAGACTTGGTAAATACTGAGCATTCCTGAGATTAAATTTTGTTAAATAAACCATCTTGACACCTTAATTAAAATGGCATTAACATACTGCCAACTACAGTACATAAGCGCTGAGATCCCAATTCCAATCCTGGGAACCCACATGCCTTTTTCCAGCTGAGCTGTTCCATAATTGACCCTCAACTGACCTAGTAAGACTAATTCAAACTTTAGATTTTTTGAATTTTAATTACTGCACTGCATATGTAACACACTCACAAAGGTTCCAATCAAGCAATGTGCCTCTTCAATTAAATAAAGAGCTTGGCTAGAAAACCTTCAGATAAGACAGTCAGGTCCAGGGACTGGGGAAACCCCCAAGTCTCACAATCTTAAAAGTTTTCAAATTTTGCTGGATTACAAATTATATTTACACATCTTTTTCCAATCTTTATTTTGACTGCAATCTCACATACTCAAACTTTAATTTTTTTTAAAGACAAAATTAGTTATTTTTAAAAAATATATACATCTTAAAGAAATAAAAAAACTGAAAGTATGTTGCTTGTATAAGTATTCAGATGCCATACTTTAATATTTTAGAGACATTTTGTGCTGCAATAACAGCTTGAAGACTTGTGGGGTAGGCGTCTACCAGTTTTGCACACTTGCTAGCAGCGATGTTCACCAGCTCCGCTTGGCAGATTTGCTCCAGCTCATTCACGTTTCCTGGACAGCATTTCTGGACCTCAATTTTTAAACTGTGCAGCAGATTCTCAACAGTGTTGAGGTCGGGACTTTGACTGGGCCACTCGAGGACATTCACCTTTCTATTCTTGAGCCATTCCAATTGCTCTGGCGCAGTGCTTATTGTCCTGATGAAAGGTGAATATTCTCCCAAACTTGACTTTTGTAGCACACAGAAACAAGTTTCCTTGCAGTATTTCTCCAGACTTTGTACATCCAGTTTTCCTTCAATTCTAACAAGATTCCCAGTCCCTGCTGATGAGAAGTCTCCCACATGATGCTGCCCCCACCATACTTCACTGTAAGGATATTGTTTCTTGGAGCAGGGGCTAGGTTAGGTTTGCAAAAAAGCTCTCTGACCACACACCTTTTCCCCAAGTCTTAGCTGGACCACTCTCGTGCTATCTAGAAAGGTCCAGACAGGCTTTGAGATAGTTCTTCTTGAGTAACAGTTTCTTTCTTGTCACCATCCCATACAAGCCAGTGTTATGAGCTCTTGATATGGTTGACTCATGCACCTTTACTCTTCTCTCAGCCAGTGAATTCTGTAGGTCTTTCAAAGTGATTGTTGGCTTCTCAGTGGCTTCCCTAACAAGTCTCCTGCTTGATCGGATGGAACGTTTTATGGAACAGCCTGGGTAGGCCAATTATATCCTCATTAGGGCAATTTCTTTCCCACATGTGAACTTAGAGCTACCAGAGCACAGGGACCTGAATACTTATGCAGGCAGCATATTTCAGTTTTTAACTTTAAGAGATCTGCTGACAAAAAAAAAATATGTTTTCTTCTAAAATTTAATGTTTGAGCATGTGAGTTTGCAATAAAAATACTGATTGGAAAAAGATGAGTACGTATTTACAGTCCAGCAACATTTGAAAACTTTTAAAGGATCTGAATACTTCTGCGAGGTACTGTATATACTTATTGGCACAATTGATGCAGTAAATGAGGTGAACTAGCCTGGGGCTCAGAACATAGAAAATGATCAATCTCTAACCAGAAATGGTTCATAACATGTATTATATTCTCCTATTCAAGCCAATTGTTTTCCTTTAGATGGATATATGAAGCAGGTGTACACAGTTAAAACTGGTCATTTCAATCCACTTACCATTTAAGGAAACTGTTCCATAATCCTTATGGGTTCCAATATTTTTCCACTTAGTAATGTTTTTCTCCTTAATACAAGCAGATGTGCATTTGTGACACTTCCAAATTCCTGTCCAAAATTGTTTAAAGTTGCAGGGTTCAGTTTTGCATGATCCAAACAACCAGCTTTATTCTTTTGAGGTATCAAATCTTAAATCTGACTTAAGAGTGACATATTTGGCTTTAATAAATAGTCCCATACACCATTTTACGGCAGAAAAGGTAGTAAGAGAAAAGTAGAGGAATCTGTTGCTGCAGCACTTACAGTGTGATGACAAAATAACTATACCCCCTTAAGAGTGTTTAATGTTTAACATACTGAGACATATTTGGCCTTCACCTAGTCCTCCCCAAGTTGTAATAGTAGATAAAACTAACCTCATTTCACAGATAAAAAAAATCTACTTTATCATGATTTTGTAATAGTAGATAAAACTAACCTCATTTCACAGATAAAAAAATTCTACTTTATCATGATTTTTTAAATCAGCCAGCATTCAGGTTATTTCGGTATATTTGAGCACCAGCTTACTCCTACCATGTGAATTTAGAGGGTATGTAGAATCAAGTGCACCAAAACAAATGATTAGCTGATCATCAGGAAGTGATTCTACCTGTATATAAAAATCAAACACTTTGTTAGACACTTTGCCCGAGAAGCATTCAGGTTTGCTATAACACATTATGGCCAGATCAGACGAGAGAGTGACAGTCTCAGAGAAAGAACTGTTGATGCTTATCAGCCTCTGAAGGGTTACAAAACCATTTTCAAACAGTATGAAGTCCGTCATTCCACAGCAAAATAAGATCTACAAATGGACAAAACTCAAGACCATTACCTATCTACCCAGGAGAGGCTGTCCTCCCAAATTCTCTATAAGATCTGACTGTATGATGCTCCTAGAAATCACAAAGAACCCCAAGGTTACATCCAGGGATCCACAGGCCTCCCTTGTTATGCTAAATGCCAGAGTTCATTGAATATACCATCAGGAAAAGATTCAATAATAAAAGCTTTCATGGAAGGATAGCCTAGAGGAAACCCCTGCAGTCCAAAAAGAACATTGCTGCGTGGCTTATAAAACAGGACATGACTGAAAAACAAGATAAATGTGCTCTGGACAGATGTGTCAAAGGTGGACCTGTTTAGCCAAAACATCACATTTGACCAGAAGAACCTCATACCAGCTATCAAGCATGGAAGTCATGGGGTGATGGTTTAGGTCTGCATTGCTGCCTTTAGGACCTGGCTATTAAACTCTTAAAGCTGGACCGAAAGTGAATCATGCAACAGGACAAAGATACAAAGAACAAAAATCTATAACTAAATGGCTCAAAGAAGAAATTCAGGATTTTGGAGTGGCCAAGTCAAAGCCAAACCTAAATACTATAGAAATGTTGTGACGGGACCTAAAGAGTGTTGTGCATACAAGAAAGTCCTCAAATATTACAAAATTGGTGATGTGACAGACTGATCAACTCTCATATTTAATTCAAGTTATACCAGTTAAAGGGAGTACCACAAGTTACTGAATCAAGAGTGCTTTTACTTTTTCAGACAAAAATATTGAATGTGGGGCTGATTTTTATCATTTTATAATGACAAAGTAGAATTTTGTGTTAATTGTAAAAGGCGATTAATTTTATCTACTAGGATGACTTGGTGAGGACAAGATGAAGGCCATATATTTAGAACTGTATGTTACAATTTATAATCTTAAGGTGGTGTATTTACTTTTTACCACACTGTATTTGATGCATTAATTCTGTATAACACAACTGGGTCCTCTGATCTAAGAGATTAGTGGGTCAGAGCACTTAATCCTCATGCATCAGCACACCACACTGTTAAGGCCTCATTTATTGCTTCAGCATGTTCTGGTCTAAACACCCATGCAATCAGTTTTTCCACGTAAGCCAAATTACTATTGGAAACCTTGACAAGTGTGACATGAATAATGCCTTTGACAAACATTGCACTACCTTGCAAATAGAGTAACTGCAATTGTTACAATACTGTAAAAGAAACCTTACACATTTACTTGCACAACATATAATAAACATATCCTCATTCTACTGTTATTTAAATGATTAATTTCATGTTGTGAGGGAAACCCAATGACTTTCCCAGGCCACTTCAGGTGGGCGAGCAGCACTTGTAAAATAATCTATTTATATTAGTCATAATGTCAAATGACAGAAAATGTTTTTGTTTTACTTATTGTAAGCTTACTCTTATTCTCGTTTCAGCTGAGTTCCTCACTGAAAGCAATGTTTTGAAAGGAAGAGGAAAAGTTGGAAGACCCACCCTACTTTGGACAAGAAAACAAAAACTAATTCTATCCCAGTGAACAACTGCCCAGAAAAAGTGCTTTGCACCCAGCTATGGAAAATTCCTAGAAAGAACACCGCAAGGCTTGATGTTTGTTTCCACAAAACGTTTTAATCAGCATGCTTGACGGCCTTGTTCTGGTTAAAATTCCATTTTTCTGGGAAAGTTCAATAAAAATATGCACTTTTTAAAAACTGTTTGAACGGCAATGTTTGCTTTTCACATTTCAGTATAGAAGATCCTCCCAAAGTTGCCAAATAACCTGTTCTCAGTCTCTGCCACACCTAGTCTAAAACAAAGAGGCCTATTTAATCGACAGTGTTGATGCAAGTGCTGCACCTACATTCTTAATCTCACAGAGCTAAATCATTCTGTACTCTAGACTATTTCAATGAGATTCTCATTAAAAAAGTCAACTTGCCTTTTGAGGATATCCAATTCCCTTTTTTTATTTGAGGATAAAGTGAGGATGGATTTAATTTCATGTTTTAAAAAAAACTGTGGAAACTGAGCTGCTAAACTCACCTGCAGGGGCAAAAGTGTGTTGCTGTTGCTGTCCGTGCGGAAAATGTTGTCCTCAATCCAGGATTTCGGTGTGAGTGAGGCTGCAGATCTTGGGAACTTAGGCGGCGCGATGACATTGCTGGAAAAAGGCTTTTTCATGGGAGAGATCTGGTTCATGGTGCCTGGGATGCCCATTCCCCCTGGCCTGCGGTGGTCTCGGCCATGAACCCCCCCCCAAGACATCCCTCCAGAGCTCCAGCCGCTTCCCTGATTGCTACTCCAGGGGGATTGCTTCATGATGGGCTGGGGGGAGACACAGACGGGGACAGCTGTCAGAGTTCCACCTTGACACAACTGAAAAAAAGCAAATGCTAGGCCTATACAGTGGGGGGAGGGAGGACCTAAAAAGGAAAACATATTCTTCTGTGTTGGTATTAAAAAGTTTGATTCGGTTCACAAATGGAAGACAAACTTATACTCAAAGCTTTATTTCTTTGAGGGGGGCCCTGTGACTCAGCTAGAGCAGTTTAATCCCTCTTATTGAGGGCTTTCTCTGCTAGGCCATTCCGCCTTGGAGAATTCAAGCCCCTCTTCTGCTCACCTCTTGGGTAAGAAGATTTAGGTTTTACGTTAATGCTGTATCCCTTCCTCGCAGCAAGAAATGCTGGCAACTCTATACATGGTACAGCTTTTGTCAAAAGCAACTGCTTTATCTATTCTATTCTATATTCTAAGTCTATTCTAAGTTAATTTGCGGTGATCCTGACCCTTTGGTATTGTTTGCTCAGAGGGACTTGTTCTTACAATCCATAGGCCTTAAGAGAAGACCAGTAATTTGTGCACATATAAAGCAAAACACCCACTGAAACTTCAGGTAAATTTCAAAGAACAGAGCAAATACTTAAAAAGCATTACTCGGTCATCTCATATAATGATACATGCATTGCAAGTTTTGAAAACCGCAATGATTTCAACCAGTCTACAATGTATTTCTGCCATAACCTCAGGTCAAAACTTCAAAATACTGATCATTTGCACAGCTTCGTTTCTAAGCCTAGTCCCTGGCAGAGAGAGGGTTTGGGTGGGTGGATGCTTTCATTAAATATTTGCAACCATTTTCAGAGTAATAGCCCAGATCTGAATGTGTGATGTCCTTTAGGATTTCAGCATTAATAATGAAATACTCCTAGAAAGTCTTGGCATCCATCTTGTATTAAGGGGGAAGTAAATGAAATAATGAAATGAAACAAAGGGCCCCATCACATTGCTCATAAATGTGACATTACATCTCCCTTTAATGACCCAACTAATGATTTGAAGCCTGATGCTTATCAGACTCCATTGCTTCTTTTAATTCCCAATAATTTTAGCAATTGTGAGTACAATTATTCAGTCTAATTAAAATAATTAGGTTAAGATGTCAGCCATTCTGAAACTTGAATGAGCAAAGCCTGCTATATTTATCAGAAATGTTGTGCCTCAATCCTACTGCATCAACAATTATAAAGAACATCAAAGTTAGGGAAATCTGTTTTTCGAATCCAACTTGAAAAACATACCATCTTCAGCAATTCACCAAGCACCGAAATGCCACTATAATCACTATACCACTATATATACTATCACTATAATTAGCTGAAACAAACATACATTTAAAAAAATCTTACACAAGGAAACTATGATACTGCCACAAAATGAGCTTTTGGTATTAGTAGCTTAATAGCATTTTACAAATTTTATATTCAAAGAAAAAAGCAATGGCTTCATTGATCAATCCATTTATTTATTGGTATTAAGATATTTCTTTTCTGCTTGCTTTATCAAGTTCTCAATTTTTAGTGGTTAAGAAATACTGAGAAAAAACATGCAGAGTGGATTCCCATTTCCCTGTGGTCTCCTTAAGACATCACTCTCGGGAGGCAATGTACAGCATCTCAACCTACTCCAGAAATATAACCCCCTCTCTCACTACCATATACACAGTATATAATGTAGGAAAGTATGCAAGCTAAGTACTCAAAATCTTCAAAGGTCAACACATTGGACTTCATAAGCTTCAACAGTGAAATGCAAACCCAATGACAAGTAATAATGTGAAAGTATATTTAAAGCTTATAACAGAACGCACTTTGTGCATATGTTGTAGGAGTATGGAACAAGCTACCCACCCATGTTATTAAAGCCGACACTCTTTTTTTTTTCCCAAGAAATGGTTCAATTAGGTACAACCTATCAAAAGGACTAGATAACCTCTATAGTCTTCTCTTCTTTGTAACATTCATCTTAATAAGGGTACAAAGTACTTCTTAGGTGATAAAATAATAATAAGAAGTGCCAGGAACTTGTACTCACAAGTTGAGCTTTAGAACCTCATAAAGCAAACAACACAGAACATTAGTCCTTTAAGGCACTAAACACCCTTTCTGGACAATATCTTAGAAAACATAACCAGAGGGAATAAAATGAGAATTCATGAAGATTCTCCACTAGCAATTATACAGACTTCATCTATTGTAACTGAAAACAAAGGTCCAGAATACACTGTATTTTATATAAATTGTGGTATAAGACCTGAATTGAAAAAAATCCTGAACAAAAAATCCCCAAGCTTTATGCCAAGGAGTGCCCTTTTGCTTGCTAACCAACTATTTGTTTGGCGTCACCTCTCACTCTACTCTATAAAACATTTTCAGACGCTGGTAGCCTGTTATCCGTGTGCTGGAACAATACACAGTGAAAACTGGAAAATGGACGATGGTGGCGAGTCTCAAGAACAAATCACAAAAACATTCTTTTAACATATGTTACCTTGACGACTCCATCTGAATTTAAATCAAATGGAAACTGTGTGGTAGTGTCTGGGAAAGGTTTGATGGTAGCACGTTATAGGTACTGATTTAAAAACAACAATTTTCACAGCTGGCATTGTAAACTGTACCACGTACCATAGCATACAGAGTACAGATGGGGACAGAGGAAAGACTGTCCCAATTCCAAAGTAGTCATGAATAGTTCAGCACACATTATATCATTTAAGTCAATCATTTTAGAGTACAGCAGCACACATATGCTAGTGTAAAATACAGAAATCTCTCTCAACGCCATGTTCTATATTTAGAAAAACATCTAAACTAAGCATAAAACAATTGGTATAGTGACAGTCTCAATGAAATACAAGGTATAGTAAACTATATATTCCAACCTACTTTTAGTTTAATTGATTAAATACAAAAGTTGTAATCATCTGTCTGCCAAGACAAAATATCTACAATAACAATGCCAAATAGAAAACTGGTTTATATATACACCTCATTTAACATAAACTTGCCAATTTTCAATAATTTTATAACTAACCTCTAATCTAGACTGCCACAGAATCATATAAAAATAAGTAGAATATACCACACCATATGCAAATCTAAAATTGTGCACAGTATATTTAGATAGGGTGTTGGCGGTAAATGTAATCACTATGTCTTAGTCAAGTCTAGACTCAGAAGATTGAAAGCAATATCGCCTTGGATTTAGTTACTTCATGTTTCTGTCCACCATTACACATAACACAATTTCATTTTCAGTTAGCATATCATATTCCTGCTTTAACAAGATGATTTTAAAGAAAGCCTACAGTACGACAGCAGCTTGCTATACCTAAGGTCTCTATTTTAAGTAGCTGAAAACAAATTTAGTACTATGCTGTAAGACACTTCAATCCCTGCAATGGAAGGACAAAACTAAAGGCTTCTTCTTTCAAGTTCTGTGCCAGATCTGATTCTATCAAATGCAGAAAAAAATCACAATGAGAAAACAATTCTGTCCAATAATGTCATTAACAACCACAGTACTCTTCATGACCACAAATTTCTCAAAAGAGTAAAGCAAGTTCACATTTCAGGCAAAAAAAAAAAGAATTTTAAGCAAGCAAAAAAAACTACTTTTTACAACAAAACAGAACAGTCTCAACCCAGTTGTAGACATCTTGTATCTGAAATACAGTCATTTACTAATGTATTAAGCACAATTGTTAAATTATACTTAATACTCAGTGACAACTAAGGGGCAGTTTTGTTAGTTCCAGTACCCTCTTTAAAGTCAATTCCCATTTCTACATTCACAGATTTGGAATTGGTTTGAAGAGGTAATAGTAACTGTAAAAATGAAAATTACTGTCCCTAATGATAGGCTTACCTCTTTTAAAGTGTATATTATACTCTTGTGTCCTAGTGTGTATTAATGCGCTCTGCTTTTAATTTAAGTAGTGCCATCATTAAGAAATATGGAAAATACTCTCTAGTACAGTAATATTCTTTACACTAATTGTCTTCTCATTCCATTTGCCGTCTCACCTGCTCCCCATGTTAACCTCTAAAACACATTGGGGGATTCGTGCACTCATGCACATTGTGCTGTTACTAACTCGCGGTTACAACTCTGGATAGCTCCAGCTGCACTGTAAGGGCCATTATCCCTCTAAATGGTTATTTCTCCCAGCTAGCCCTTCCAGGTGCTAAGCCAGCTCTCTCCAATTTTGCAGCTTTCAGTGCTCCGGTATCTCAGAGAGTGCGGCTATCCTACACTATATAACCATGTCAAAACAGTGCTCTTAGTGTGGTTTTTGGAACTGAAGTCCCGTGAAGGAAGATTCATAGCAATAATATTTAATACTAACTTTTCTCCAGAAGGTTTAGTTTTTGTAGACAAAACATGTAATGCCTCCTGCTAGCCTTTTTAGGGATTTAAAGTACCACATTGGCTACCTCAATTGAAAAACATGACCACTCAGACAATTTAAAAGCCACATTTTGAGGTACAATTTTCACACCAAGTTTTCTTCATGACAAAACAATCCAAACAACCTCAAAATAGTAACTGAAATGCTGCCATTTTGTCCATCTCCCTTTAGATGACCTAAGACAGAAGACTTCATTTTTAAAGTTAATTTGTGCTTACATTTGAATGTACATGCAAAATATGAAGAGAAAACACTAACAAGATTTCTATAATGACAGGATTAATTCTAAAAAGAATAATAATGATAGGAGAAAATCGGAAATGTTGATTTATTACTAGAGCTGATTTGTAAAACTGAAAGCTCCATGCATGTTCCCAAAAGACAACATTTAAAAATGCTGGTAAAGGTATAAAAATTATTAGCTGGAACAGAATGAGAATATATCGGGAGCAAGGCATGGCTAGCGATGATACACTATAGTGTGTAACACTTCATGAACCCAAAAGGCAATCCTCTTTTCTTGAACAACTTTTAAATTAATTATAAAGATGAAGGTGTTATGAGAAAAGGTGACTCTTGATGAATTTCTGTCAAAGACACCTCACCCCCTCCTTTGTAGTCACCAACAGTGCAGACTTTCACAAGCAATGAATTAATCCCAATAGATTAAAAGAAAAATCAGTCACAGGTGCCCCCAGATTAAAGAAACAAAACCAGACTAAACTACTCTCTCACACTATAAGTAAAGTACATGTTAGCATGGGTCCATTGAATATGAGCACTGTGGCACTGCCTTGGCCTTCTGCCACACTGAGATGCACCCTATGGCACAGGAGAAGGATTAAATGCTCATTTTTCAACCATGGTCCTTCATTTGCATTAAGATGAACACAACTTACATGCACAGTACGAACCAATTAAGTAATGTCAACACCACTTAGAATCATTCTGAGCAATTTTAGGACAAGTATTTAACCATTATGCTGCTGGCCATATAGCAACTAGACTTTAATGGAGACGGATTGTAGAGCAGTCTTTTGTCCTTCCATTTCATGTCTGCATTAATATTGTTTTCACAAATCACAGAACAACAGAAATTCAGTGCGTTCAATTTAACCCCTTTGCATCTTAACCCGCACATAAAAGTAGCCCATATCACCAATCTATGAAATGCTATTTGCAAACTAGCGAACCAATCACATTAACTCGTCATTAATTAGCTTTAATAATAAAAAAGGGAGAAAACATTCCTGCCCCTGTGATTTCAGTTCAGAAAAAGAACTGCTTTTTAGCTTCATTGTACAGCCTACAGCAATGTCCCTAATTATGTTTGCTGCTTATAATTGAGCGCATACACATTCACCTGTGGTATTTTTCGACACCTTTGCAGCAATGCAACCCTACATTCTTAACAAAACCCATCCCTGTGTTTTCAAGTTAAAGGTTAATATTATTTAAAATAAATGGAGATGTGATGTTGAGTACTCAATAAAAGATGATTAGTCCTGCAGAAGCACTGGAATCCAAATCAGACCAGGCTGCCAAAGGCTGAACTTATTCATTCCTTAGAAGGTCAAATCGTGATTCACTCTCTAGCCTTTAGTGGTCCAATTTGACAGCACTATGCAGTGTGTTGATGTTGGTGTTTAAAGTGTGGAAATGTTATGTTTAACTACAATAACTAATCAACACATCCGCCAACTTTGAATGCAAAATAACATGAACTGAACATCTCTTTCATTATTGTTTTTAATGAAATGTTCTATGTACGTTGTGGGTATTCTCAGTTATTCTGTTATCTGACAGTCTATGCACAGATTAAACAAATATTTAAAGTCTCATTGTACCTGAATGTGGGGGAATCCTCCCAGAATGATGCATGTAATGTTTCACCAATGAACTTGGTAGAAAAGTAACAATGATTGATGGACAAAAAAAATACAATTGCCTTTTAAAAAGATTTTTCACAAGCCCTTTTTTCCTGAATAGAACAGAATATATGTAGAAGAGAGATGCATTAAAAAGAAGGATTAGTGGTTAATCCCTCACTTCCAACAACTCAGCAGAGGCCTTTGCCTTACAAACCTGAGAAATACAACCTAGTCTCAAACTTAACCTCAGAAAGATTGGGTTTAATAACTCAAAGAAGAGGTATCTAAATTAAAGGAAAGACTTTGTCTCTCGCAGTCTTTAATTGCTACAGTAAATACCTGGCTGTCAGTAAAATTAGGTTACAGTATTGCCCACAGACCCTGTGTTTCAACCTGCTCATTACCAGAACGACGAATCTGGCACTCATAAACCAGTACTCATCAGTCTATCACTAAACCGCAAACTTGCACAAACAGCTGTCTCTTTCAAAAAACATTGCTATTGCTCTGGTCCATAATATTTGGATGGGCTCTCAACAAAACAATAAGGATCTTCATTTTTTTTTATAATATGAGTGAGTCTTATGTGCGTCTTGAAAATGTATCACAAGCACAGAAAGTACTATGTTAAAACAATGAGAAACATAACTTGAAGCTACCACGTTAATTTGTTGAAACATTACAAACCTGAAAAGAATTGTACAGTTCTAAAAAACGTACAATTTAAAAACAAACATAAACTGACCAAATAAAGGGGCCCACTTTAAGAGTGAACTATAATAATGGGCCAATTGCCTTGTTCTAAACAATTGTTGTATTAGGCTATTGCCAATAAATTCTAAAAATAAACTGATAGAAATTGGTTTGCTATAATGACAAGTAGCATATGGGATTTTTACTTTAACAGATGGTGCTAGTTAGCAGTGCTAACATGCATTAAGGTCAAAAAGACAGATACATGTGTGAATGTAAATTGCGTCCACATCATCTTTATTTGTATTTTATGTTTTTCATGACAGCTTGTCAGCTAATGGAATTCCTTTCATCATATCCCTAATACACTCTACAGACAGTTATGCAGTAAGGCGTTTATTTACATCAGATCACAAAATCTACATTTTCGATCAGAACTCTGCCCTGGTTCTGGTTCTGTTTCAACAGCACAGCTCTGATCAACTGATGACCAGTCAGATGCAGAAGAGACTAGAGGTAAACTCATACTTCCACTAAATGTATTCTTCTTCAACAGCAGACTAAAAAAATGGCAAAAACTGCTTTGTTTATTCATTTTTCATATCACTATACTGCCGCAGAATGACTCATGGACCAATTATACTGTACACTGAGCTGACATAACAGCAAAGGAAACCTCCCTCACAAATGATACCTGCAATTTAATGCATAACAATTTAACAAGCACTAAAATAGACCTGAACTGTAGGGCGGTCCATTTTACCTATAGTAAAATAAGACGTTTCTTTTCCTCAGACAGGTGACTGAGAGGTGTGGCAAGTACATCCTGATTGAGACTTCTGGTCAAAGACTAATCTGGGTGTTACAAAGCAGGGTGTAACACAAGGAATCTCGTCCTGCAGTTTTTGCAGAGACTCTGCAATGGTGGCTCAATTGAACAATGAGAAACAGAAAAACTGTCGTTACATTTTTGACTGATTCCATTACAGTCTGGTCAACATTGACCATCGTCTGTTGTATTGTGAATAAAAGGTCTGGGTCACGTTGTGTTAAAGCTACAAAATCGAATGTCACTTGACAAATATTCTGAAATATAGTACTGAATTGTTTTTATACAGTTAACATAAGTTTTGTTCTGCCCAGTACCAAACTGGAAAAAAAAATCAATACTTAACACCTAACCATCACATTTTACATTTTTTACCTGGAAGTTTCATTATTTTAGACCAGGTGCACATGCTTTTATGACTCAGTAAAATACCATTCACCTGCACAGTTTATATAGTGTTACTGCTGAAGTGACAAAGGCCTGTGTCCTGAATGATCCAATGCCCTCACATACCATGTTCACAGTAAAAAAAATGTATCGATAGTAATTTTTCACCAACACCGTTCAGTTTACAGAACTGTGTTTTGGAAATATGGTTTACGGGGTATGAATCGACTAAAAGATTGTTTTCCGTTCCCAAAATGAGTCGCTATCAATATTTTTTTTTAAAAAGGGGGACCCCCCTCCGCCTCCCCTTACCTGATGGTGGTTGTAGTTGTTCCTCTGCTGGAGAAATGCGCTCTGGTGTTGGTGCAGCTGGGGGCTGACTGGGGACCTCCTGTTCTGTTGCTGTTGAGGTAAATTAATCTGGGGAGAGAAAGGGCTGTTAAAGCCTGGCACATTAATCCCCGCGCAGGGATTAGTTGAAACCGGCGAAAAACTCTGGAAAAAGGCAGGGTTGATGGAAGAAGGGATCCCCGGGTAAAAACTGTTGTCTGGCTCGCTGCTGGGAATCTGATTCATTGGGTTAGCGTGATTTGGGTTGCTAGAGTTGGAAACTGGTGGAGGGGGTGAGCTAGTCTGGACTGACCAAGGGGTTCCGAAACTGGGCAGAGACGGGGAAGCTGAGCTCCCGGGGTTCTGCTGAGGAGATGCCATTTCCTGATTTTGGAGATTTGTGAAACCGGCTCCGAGACCTCCTGGCAACATGTTACTAGTGCTGCTGCCATTGCCGTTATTGAGCAGGTGGGCACTGGGAGAGTCCATTTGGATTTTAACCTTGTTGGGATTCACGGAAGAGGGCGATGGCGACGCAGCAACCACCACATTGGTTTCGGAAACCGCAATCTCGTCAAGAGTCGAGGTGCTGGTCTGAAGGGGGCTTGAGTCCGGGCTCCGCTCGCAGTTGTTCTGATCTGAATCGGGGGATCCCTGCTGCTGGCGGCTCAGGGCTGGGTACGGCTGCTGCTGAGCCAGGTGACTGAACTCTCCCTGCGGCGGCGGAGGGGGTGGCTGCTTGGTGCTGCTGAATTCAGTCTGCTGTTGCTGGTTTATCGGCTGATGTTTTTTTCGGTCTAGCTGAAGGTCACTGACCTGCTGCGGCTGCCCAAACTGGTCTTGATTTACAGTTGGCTTGAAATCGGACAACTGTTGCTGGTTCTGGTTAAGGTGGTTGTAGTCCAGCCTCTTCTGCTGCTGTCCCAGCAGGTTGCCAAAATCGGGGTTGTTGTTGGTGGTGGTTTGCTGACTGGTTTTGTTGACGTTGCTGTTGTTTTTTTCGGTGGCCGAGGACTGCTGCTGCGCTGTTTTTGTCACCCCAAGAAGAAGCTCATCCTGCATGTTTTGATGATGCGCAGAAGTTGACAGGAACAGAGGGGACACACAGGCGGCGTTACTGCTGGAAGCGGAGAAGCTGCTGGGAGCGAGAGGGGAGAACTGGGCACTCGAAGCCGGGGCAGAAGTCGCGTACGACCTGAAAGCGCCTCCGCCAAAGAACGTAGAGCTGCTGTTCAAATTAGCTGTCTGTAACAAGCCGAACCCGTAATCCCCCATTTATTTATATAAAAAAATGTTTGAAAATGTAAAATAAAAAATACGATTTCCTTTTTTATATATCAAAATAATCTTTTAAAGTATTTTACAATATAAATACAGAGGGAGGGTATAAATTGCGTCGTTCGTTCTTATTTTATTTAATGGCCGGTGCCTTTATGTTGTGTTATTTTTTAATTATTGTTATATTTCTGTCTTAACTCAGTCCTATTACTACTGTACTCCCCGGTTTACTCGTTCATCTCCCCTCCTCTCATTGCCGGTTCGGCTGCAGCACAGCACAATAAAAACCCCGGAATGTACGTCACGATAACGTCATGATTTATTCCCGACTCCGCCTTCTGCTTATAAATACTAAACACCACAACTAACTGCAGAGCGCCGCATTCTTTACGTCATTATTTTCATTATTCATAAGCTGCAGTGCCGCGTCATGACTTCTTGAATATTTAGCAAGGGAAGCGTGAGTCTTTTTGCCTTATGCGGTTTTCAGGCTCCTCCTAAGGTAGGCGCAGATACAGTTCCGTTTCAAGCCTCCCCTCCTTTTATCTTTCTTCTCATAGTATTGACGTAGCGTCACACGTGGAAAGGACGCATTTATCTGGCGCCGTGGGAAAAATTGGGATTAAACCGGGAATTAACTGATTCGTTGCCAGTTAAGGTTGAAAACTGGTTATAATACATGAATTGCATTGTTTTTTCGGATCCGAAGAATTAATATTAGTGCATGTGCAGCAGAGTTTGTATGCACGGGTATGGGGACAGTTTAAGAAACGCTGTAAGACAGTCAAAGGAAACAAGGGAAAACTACATTGTAGGACAGAAGTTAATGTGTGGCTTTTAGTGTTCTACAAGACGCATGACTAGTAATAGTAATGCACAGAAATACAATGTGTATTGCGGTGAATAATATTTTTATTTTTTATAACACCTTTGCAAACTGAAATGTTGTGAAAACCTCAGAAGATTCTAATGACAACAATGTGACGGGGGCAAAACAGTTTTGACCAAAGTGAAGAGAAATATATATATATAATTATTAAAAGATCAGATTTAGCTGTAGTCAGGGAAGAGTCCATTACAGAAGCTGTAGCCAAAAACTGCAGGTTCTAGTATCAAGAACTGACATTTTTGGTGATGTAGTTCGTGTGAAGAACGTATTCTTTCTTCAGTAAAGCACTCAAAAAGGCTGTCTGTATGCAGCACTAGTGGGGTTATACTTAGAAAACGATGGATGTAGGACTTGCATCTTAAGTCCTACATCATTAAAATGAATAATATAGCGAATTAATGAAAAATGGAAGTGTAAATAAAATATTGTACTAATGTTCTTGCTTTCTTTTTAACAACGGTTTTCAAGTTATCGTTTATTCCCTTTGTAAATTCAATTCAACTTTATTGTCATTAAACTAACACAGGTGCATAGTATAAATGGATATTTTTTGGTTATTCTTATGCATAGTTTGAATTTAGTGATAAATGTAAATTGTTTTGTTTCAGATACACAATACACAAATTCCTCCGGTTAAACGCACTATGTTATTTTCAGATTGTTTAATCCCTCTTTATTACATTTTGTATGTCAATATGTCTTCCACATGAACCCCCCTGATTTGAAAGAAAATGTACAGTATACAGCATGCTTAATAAGATCCTTGGAGCAACAAGATGGGACCAAGCAAGATGTCTTAAATAATGCACTTTACATTATGAAGTGCTTTTATAAGCAATAATCTCAAGCAACTTGATCTTTAGTTAAATGGCTTGTTCTTGTTTGTAACCTTTCTTTTGTGCTTATGCTAATGTCGATTCTCAACAGTATTTCAGTAATCTAGTTGACATTTCAGCGGGTGTGCCAGTAGAACCTTATTTCTAATTTTGTTTTGCAACACATTTCACCAAATGCCACATGGCTGCTTTTAATTATTTATAATTCATTTAAGAAATATTGCAGACCTGACCCCTAAAGTGAGGTCATAATAGGTTAGAAAGATTTTTGTAAAGGTGGCTGTCCCTCTGGACTGCTATTGGATTATGAATAATTGTGAGCATCAATGTTATACTTAAAGTTTAATAAAGAGTTTGTAATAGAAGATGCTACATTCAGCTCTTCGGATTTCATCAAGTCATGTACCGAAAGTGAGTGTAATACAGTACAACATATGTACTGTATATGGAGTACATAACTCTATTAGTACATAACTAATACAGAGGGGATCTCTATATCTGTAAAACAGGTATTTCAGCCTCTGTTTACTCAAACTTCTATCTTTCTGGGAGTAGCCTGACAATCTATAAAAAATCTGCACAACACTATTTTTAACTGTGTACTGATTAATGACTATACCCAGTATCACGGATACTACTGGTACATAATACACTCTAAATTATGAATACAGTTATCAAGGCATTTCCTTAATTCATATCAAATCTAAAATAAAATGCATTAAATTATTTTTACAGATGGCGTTTCAGAGCAGCAGTCCACTCATCAGAATGCAACACTTATGTTTATATAGTCAGGCTCATTTTAAATATATATAAACAGGTAACTTCCTCTTTCCCTTTTTTTTTCCTCCTTATAGCGGGTTCCCAGTTTTACTGTGTCATCCACAGAAAGAAAATGCAGAAGCAATTCTCCATGCTTAAATTTCCCTTACTGTTTTTATTACTTTGGTTGCTGCTTTTTGAAAGCGTCCCAGTCCTGTATAAACTACCCCCCATGGGGAACTGACTCATGCATAAACAGCAAGTTGGTTTCAAAATAAAAGATGTGCTGTATTGAACCAAAGGTGGAGAACAGAGTAGTACAACATCAAGGGCTGCAGCATCACACACTGGCTGTTATTGGGAGCTGGCAGAGATGGGGTGGGGGATGTGAACGAGGAGAACAAAGAAAAAGATAAAAAAAGGATGATTGTGCAGCTTAGAAACATCTTCAGTCAGTTAAAGAACATTTACTTGTGCTTCGAATATAACCAGCATACACTACATATTGCGAGTTGATGATAGAAGATCATAAAATACATAGGAATGATAGATTGATCAGAAAATTCTGTTTTTACATCACAGCATTTCCTGTGCATTTAAAGGCAACATTGATGTTTGCATTGCCTGCCCTCAAATATTTGAAACTGAAAAGATTATCCAATAAGTAATGAAGGATTTTTTTAAGCACAGCCAAAACTATAATTTGGGGAGGATTTGTAAATAGACCGATAGATTTGTGATAATCCCCAAAAGGCATGTTCAGATCGAATTCCACCAAGATTTGGGGTTAGTGTTCATCGTATTTCCTGTAATGCTACTTTAACAATTCTGATGCATTAGTATATAGAGTGCCACAGTTATACAGTATATGCAACACACTGTGAAGACAAATGCTTTTGATTTATAGCCAGAACATATCTATTTAATTATCCTGAATATAATTGCACATTTATTTGATTTTCTTCATTATTCATTTTACACCCAATTTGATGTGCCTTTTGTTGAATGTAGGATTTGATACTGATGCACTTTTATTTTATGTTGTTAAGAAATTGTACATTGTGCACTATTTGCTAGACCTGCAAGCACTACAAAGAGTACCTTACAGTTTTAAAACTTGTTGTAAGTTGATTTAAATGTTAAATTAATTTAACCCTTGTATTTTTAATACATTTAACTGAACATTGGGGGGGGTAAATTGTTCTTCAGTTTTTGTTCCATTACTTCAGTTAGCTTCTGTATTTACCATGTAGATATCTTTTGTGTGCCCAGGCTGTGCTGTGCACATAAGTAATTAACAGAGGTTATCTAATATACTGTTAGGGTGCCCCAATTCTTAATAAGCAACCCAGTCATTTCTGAAGACCTACTTACAGGCAGAGAGCTCATACAATCCAGGTATAGATTAACTTTTGTTACATTTTAAATTAAACATTTGTGAAAACTTATGATGTGGAAGAAATTGATAGTTTCCATTGGGGCCACAATAGATTGATACCAGAGCTTGTCTTTGGTGAGAGCTTAGATCAAATGCACTTGTTAAGAAGAGAATCAAATTGAAAATAAGAAATGAGAGAAAACATATACGTTGAAAGTCATTTTACAAGAGTACCTTTCCAATTTATTAACTAGTGTGCCATACCCATTCAATTTTATGATCTTTCAAAATTCTTAGATACTTTAGTATTTGAAACAATATTTCTTTACAAAAATACCTGTCAGTTTCAAAATAGAGATTTAGTTTTGACAGGAGTTGTTTATAACTATATTAAAAGGAATGAAAATATATTTTTTAAGTTTATAGTTAATATATACTGTATATGCCTTGACCATATTTATTGATATAGAGAACAATTGAAATAGTCTAATGATATGACTATAAAGAATTTGAAAAACATCTTATTGTACTGTATGTATGAAGTATCCGAAGGTCTTTCTGATGATACGAGCAGTTAAATTCTGAATGTAAATTGGATGATCTACAGTTACAGGACGAAGTTGCCGTGGAGTAATTGAAAAGCAGAAGTTTTCATTCTGGCCTCCTTCTCTTACATGAATGCCTTTGGCATTGAAATTTAGCTTGATTGCTGCTTACCAGATATACCAGCATGCGGTGGGGACATAAAAATGAAAAAGAGGGCCTGCAAAATGGCTTAAACAGTAGAGGCACTCATTTGTAGAGCAGATTAGGTGCTGTAGTACACAGATTGCCAGTTTGTATATGCATGCTATGTTATTAGCTGTTTCTAACTGGGATTTCCCAAGTGGAGAGTTTGGATACATTTAATTCATGTAGAGGATAGTCCTGTCTTACTATGCTTATCTTAAAGGGGCAATATTCCCCTTTTTGCTTACATAGTGCGTGTGTGCTTGAAGTGTTATCAAGATGGGCTGTCTCAATACTCCAACTGCTGTAGGTGCTGTGGCGTTCAGTGTGAAAAAAATGTATAAGGTTCAGAAAGTTAAAATGTCAGAGGAAAGCATGCATAATCCGTATTCCTCTCATAATGGCCTGTAGTCATAAAGTTGAATTGAATAGCATTTGTCCAGTCCGTATTATTCAAGTTATTCGGGTATAAAAAAGATTCCACTTTTGTTTTCCAAAGCTAAAAAAGGTGGGTAATTGGCAAAGCATGCAATTGTACGATAAAGTAATCAGTAGTGAGCCGAAAGGCTCTTCAACTACTGTAGTAAGGGGGCTAGCCTGTTCAGTGAGCCAAAAGAAATTCAGAATTGTGCGCATCTGTTTCCTTAAATCAAATTAATAAAGTGTCTTTAATAAAGTGTCTTTTTATTAACTGCCTAGTCAAGGGCTCTTCTACCACCTTTTCCTAGTAGATGTTTCAGCTGTGTCTCTGCGCCACAATGACGCTTTCAGCTGTCAATTCCATAAACAGAAATTTACCTCCCAATACAGGATATTTGCCCCTCTCCATGACCCTTCGCCAGTTCTCCATATCCTGGCCATGTGGCACAGATGGTACAATCCTGTCCGTTCAAGGCAGGTGACAGTGCTGCCTGATGCTGAGTAATCAGTGGCTGTAATTAGCCAGACTGGACCAGGCACAGATAATAGGGCAGACAGCCAGCTGCCAGTCAGGGTGCTTCTGTGTGGGGGAAGGGCTGTGGATCACAGCTCCACTGTAGCTCCTTGAAAGCAATATCACACCTAAATTGAGAGACAAAATTACACGTTAAAAGTGTTCTTGTAGCACAAGGTGCTGCTACTATGTTCTTATTTAAATGTTATATGCTCTTTGGTAACAATTGAACTGGATTGAAGATCCTAGCACTGCTGGTTACCTCTTTGTGCTCTAGGCAAGCTAATGTTACCGTTATAAATTTTAAGTAATTTTTTTACACACATCTCACTTTGGATACTGAAGTTACAGCTTGGTTTACGTTTGTAGATCATTTTAAGAAAAAGAGGCTTTCATGTGTGATGTATATCTATATGTATGTTAGAAATGTATGTATTAAACACATACATATTGTAAACACAGAACCCCCAATTTATACTTCCAAATACTCAATTTAATTACTTTTAGTTTATGTTATATAAAATGAGATTATATATTCTCATATTTATTATAGATTACATATTCTCATAGACAGTCTTTATAGAAACATATTTTCTTACATAATTATGCCCCAGCAAATGTCAGACATTTAACAAAGCTGGCTCTTCTGTCTTGACCTTAGAGCTCAATCATATTATGTTTTTGCTTGATAAATGCCTAGATATGTTTTTAAAGTGTAATTGTATTAAAATATTCTTCTTCGCAACGTGCACCTGTTATACT